GAATAGTTGAGAAGCAGCAGTGAAAAGTGCCCAGACGTAGGTTTCCCTGGAGGTGAGACTGTCCAGGTGTGCAGCCAGCTGCTTTCCACGGCTCCCTGTGAGGTTCAGGACGGGAAGCTTGGTGAAAAGAACTGGTTCAAGTTGCACCTGGATGGGAGTGGTGTTTTTGGCATGCAGTTGGTTGAGTTAACACATGGAACTGTTGTCCCGGAGCTTCTGAAAACACACCAGCTAAAAAGCCATGTGTTTCCCGCCAAGTTTGTGAGAAATTCAGAAACATGGTACATGGACCCAGACCCTCAGGAGCATTATCGTGGCTTCCCTGAGCCAGATTCTGGCCCATGCCATCTTAGAAATTAATTTTGAGGAGAAGATCCTATGAGTCTGGTTGGGTGTGGATTTGGCCTAAAGTGCTCCTTAATTCGTCCTGGAGGTTCCTTCCAAGGAGCTGGTGGTGTATTCTGAAGATAGACCTACGTGAGACAGAAGGTGTCGTCAGGCCTTCTAGCCTGGGAAGTGAGTGTTTGATGAAGAGCCTCTAGTTTCCTGGAACCGAATCCTGGTAGGAGGAGAAGAGACTGGGCGTTCGGTCTGAGTGTGGGCAGCGGAGGATGGTACAGAGAGCAGCTCAGTCTTTAAAGCCTGGATGCCCACGGAACTCAGTCTAGCCAGATTTGACTGAGGCTTGGGACTAGCAGCCCTTTTTCACCTGGTGTCCCACTTGGACCAAGAGAACCCAAGGCTGACGGCTCCCATCTTAGTGGGGATGCCCCTGAATGTTTGGCAACGTTTAGGTTGACTGCCTGTCCCTATTTGCCATCCTGGTGAAATAAGCACTTGCCCCCCTGGGGTTCCCAGGTAAGGAGGGTCCTGTGTATTGTCTGCTTACTGTATAGTCATCACAACTCCTTTTCATTCAAAATCTCTTTCCAGTTAATGCCCACAGCAGAGACTCTGAGAAAGCACTACCAGACTACAAGCTGTCACGCCAGTGAAGGTGGCTTAAGGCATAAGTCATACAGTACACTATATGCATCTTTTTGCAACGTATCTTTCTTTAAGCAAAGTGCGATTTCCTTACGTACTTTGTAAGAAATAACAGAAAATTTATAAAATTATGAAAGGAAATTTGAATTAAAAACTATTTGTTTTGGAAAAACAAATGTCACTGTATCCCTTTGATGCAGTAGTTCTACTTCAAGAAATTTATTTTGGGGAAATAAGATATGTGGAAAGATGCCCAAATGTGGATGTTCCTTGTAGCACTGCTAGTAATAGTGAAAAGCAGAATCAACATAAATGTCTAGGAATTAAATAATGTAAATTATAGTACTAATGTTGCAAGAGCTCTAAGATTTATAGATATGTATACACATATATATGTATATATGTTTATAAACAAACAATCAAACTCTATGGCCATCAAGTCGATGCTGACTCATGGGGACTCCATGTGTGATAGAACTGCTCCACAGAGTTTTCTTGGCTGTGACCTTTACAGAAACAAATTTTATACATGTGTGTGCTTGTATGCATGTGCATATACACATCTGTATGTGCATGTCTATAAGCATATATCCATACACATGCATATAGATTACACATGCATGCATCTGCATTTATGTGTGGGTACCAATAGTTCCTGCCTACTTCTATAACAGCATTTGATAAAGAGCACATCCACACTTGTGTCCCAAAGTAGCTCACTGCTAGGGATGTATCTTGGTGTCCTCCTTACATGCAGACATAAGGAAATAGTGTTGCCTGGCAACTTCAAGATAGAACGTTGTAGCACTTCCCTGCACATACATCCGTTCTACAAGCACCAAGAGGCTCACCTGCGCCAGCTGTTCGACCAGGCCCAAAGGTGCCATGGTGAGTAGGGGCTGTGGACAACACGCAGCCCCTCCCCTGTCTCAGGGACTTGCAGGCTGCCCAGACAGACCCGTCACTTGTGCTCCCATGGGGCTCTGTTTTTAAAGTTTGATATTTTGGACTGAACAGGCTCTGTGTAGTTTAGGAAACCTAACTGTGATTCTTTTTTCTCAGACAAGTCCTGTGGAGACCCACCTTTGTTCCCACACACGATCCTGCAAGGGCGCACTGGCTTGGAAATGGGGGATGAGCTACTGTATGTGTGTGCCCCAGGCCACGTCACAGGACGGCGGGAGACGGCCTTCACCTTGTTGTGCAACAGCTGTGGGGAGTGGTATGGCCTGGTGCAGGCCTGTGAGAAAGGTAAGCGGCCCCCGGATACAGGACCACTTCCAGGTACCCAGAGCCGGCAGGCAGTCTGTGCAGCTGCAGTCATCTGCTGGGCTCCACCACCTTCCCTTCAAGTTTTAGATGGGGTCACTTCTCCACTTGGGTGGTCTTCAGTACTGCAAACGTAGTACATCCACAACCGTGCTTTCCATCTTTCCTACTGTGGGCCAAGGGTTAACAAAACCCTCTCTTCTTCTCTAAGAACAAATTTGACCTTGGGTTAATTCTCTAGCTGTTTCTCTGAAAACCTGGTTAAGATGGGAAATCGGCTGCAGTCCCAGGTAACATCATTTAAGGCAAAAAAATGACCCCGGACTGGTAAGCTGAGCTGGAGGACTATACTATACTATACTTGAGCTTTAAGTAAATTTGAACTTCCCTGAGTGAGATGGCTCTTGTGACTGGCAATGACCAGTGTGGGTTTTTACAGGAAATACTGGTTCTTGTACAGCACAGGCCTTCTAAACAGGGAGGATGGACACCCATCCATACAAATTTTAGCCCCATCCCCATAGCAGTCGTTTTAATGCAGAGACTCGGGGGGTTGGTGGGGTGGGCTAGGTAAGAAGCAGAGGCACAGGTCTAGCCCAGCCACGCAGACCTTGCTTTGCTGTGTTTCCTGGTCTGTAGCCATTTGAGCTGTAAATGTGCCTATAAATAATCACATCAGTGTGGTTCGTTGAAACTAAAAAGACTCCTGGTGGATTTTAAGCTCCTTCAGCCTGATCAGATTCCCCTAGACATCCCCATCCTATTCCTGAGGGTCCAAGGTTTCTCTAGCCCCTCCCATCAAGACCATAGGGAATTTCCCCGGGAGGCATCTCCCATCACATCCAGACTTACTCTCCACCATCAATTTCAAGAACAGGTGCCCATGAGAAGGCACTCATTCCTGACTCTTTTGAATTAACCCCCAATTTCATGGGGATCCTCTCTCCCAGACTCATCCAGTGCCCCATCCTAACCTCCTATGGCATCTGGGGACCAAGCAGAGGCCAGCTTTATTAGTGAAAATGACTCTTCCCCCGAATATGTATTTTCCCCGAAACCATCTTGTAGATCCTGTGGGTGAACCATGATGAGACCTAGGGCTCTGTGTTGTCCATGAAACCCATCCATGTTGTTGTCTGAGGCTGTAGTGTATTACCTGCTCTGTACTACCCTTAGTGTGAACACCCCATCACTTGTTTACTCAGTCAACTGATGGTAGCCATTTGGCTGCTTCTAGTTTTATGGCTAGCACACATTACACTACTATGACTGCTCTCATCCATGTCATTTGGTTCATATGAGAACATCTTTCTGCAGGTCCCCAGAATAGGGTTGCTTCTCTTGGGGGTGCTGTGTTCATCAGCTTCAGTGGATGCCATTGAAGAGTTTTCTGAAGTGTCTTCACCAGTGTGTTCTCCCAGTAACACGAAGGGTCCCTGTTCACCTGTCAGTAAGACTGTATCGGCTTGCATGTTGTTGTGATGCTGTGAGCTATGTCATCATTTCAAATGCCAGCAGGGTCCCCCATGACAGATATGTTTCAGTGGAACTTGCAGTCTAAGAAGGACCTGGACAATCTGCTTCTGAAGGAACTGGTGGGTCAAATCCTCATGAGTAGCAGTAGAACATTGCCGGAAGTTGAGCCCCTCCGGTTGGAAGGCACTCAAAATCGGGCTGGCGAAGAGTTGCCGCCTCAAAGTCGGCTCAACCGTAATGACATGAATGGAATTGGCTTTGGGCCTCATTGTTTAGTGTTTTAACTCCAGATGAGCTGCAAACATCTATTAGTAGTCATAAGATGCAAAGTATGAAGTATGAATTTTAAAAAATTAGAAGGTGTCAGAATGAAGTAGAGTGCATAAAGATGGACAGATTAGGTATCTGGTGAAGTGAAATGGAATGGTTTGGGCCGTGTTAAATTGGACACTCATATGTTCTATGGTGGGAATGACAAGTGGTAGAAGAATGATGTGGCATTGTCAACAAGAACACTTCAAGAACAGCACTATCAGTGATAGGAGAATGCCCATACTACAACAGAGTTAACACAACCATTCAAATCAAAACCAAACTCACTGCCATCGAGTCGATGCTGACGCATTGTGATCCTATAAGACAGGTACAACTGCCTCTGTAGGTTTCTGAGACTGTTTTTTCCAATATTTTTATTGACATATCTTACACAATTCATTCTATCCATTCACATACAGTTCTGTTGTTCAATCCCCCGTTGAGTGGGGTTACACAATCATCAGTGCTCTCAGCGTCCCCGCCCCCTTCCCGTACCCTCAGGGAACCATTGCTCCTGTCACTGTCTCTGAGGGGTCATCTATCTTGACTTTCATGTACAGAGGGATCTTAGTTATACAAGTGATCATACACAAATCTAATCTGGTTAATGAGGTAAAACACAAAAAACCTTAATAGTAAGGGGAGGAAATCCTAAAGAACTAGAGGATAGTTATGTGGTTCATCAGTACCCGACCATACCCTGGATTTATTATCCATTCCACGGGGCCCTTCTGAGAGGGACTGTCCAGTTAGCTTGCAGATGGATTT